TTATTTTATAATAGCCTAAAGGAAGATATAAAGGATAAGCTCTATAAAAAGGACTATCTAGGTATATTAGATAAGTATATTACTAAAGCTATCTATATTAACGATTACCTCTATACCTAGAAATAGTAGAGAAAGGGATAGTAGAAGTTAGTAGTTAGAGAGAACTAAGCTAATAAAGGAAAGAAATAATATAAAGGAATGTTTTATAGTATATAACCTAGACCTATAAAGATTAATATAATTTAGACTTAGTAATCTAATAAATAACCCTATAATAAGCCTAATATTACCTATTATAATTATAGGAAGAAAAGTTACTATAAATATAAATATAAAGGCCTATAGAAGCAAGGATAATAGTATCTAGTACTAGGATATAAGGCTACTATTATTAAGAAAGGAGTTAAGTTTAAGGAAGTTACTATTAGTAATATTAATTAGGATAATATTAACTATACCTACTATAAGGAAGAACTCTATAGGGACTATAATAATAAGGAGAGATTTAGGTTTAGAAGGGAGGATAAGGAGTTCTTAGATATCTTAGAGAAGTATAAGGAAAAGCCTATAGAGTCTATTAATAGTAATAATAAATAACTCTATACTAATGAACTTAGATAGATAATACCCTACTTTAAGGGAACTAATGTCTCTAAGTATAGAGGCTAGACACTTACCTAGAATTCCTAGGGCTAGTAGTATACTACCTAGGAAGGAGAAAAACCTAGACTTAACCTCTAGTATCTTAAGAAGAAGGTACTTAAATCTTATAATAAGATCGATAGCCTCTAGCTATCGATCAGGGGGTTAAAGAACGAAGTTATTAGCCTATAAAGGCAAGTCTAGAATAGAGCCTATAAGTAACGATAACTCTTAGAGTATAATAAGATCTAGTTAGAAGAGTTAGACTAGAGGTAGTATAAAAATAAGAAACTTTAAAGGACTAATAGATAGCTTATAGGATAAGGATAACCTATACTATAGATAGTCAAATGGTTAAAGGAATACTAAACTATTAATACTACTAGCCAAGGGGTAGATAGGAGTACCCTATAATACTAGAGGGATTTAGAAAATGACTATAGGCCCTTTAAAGGGCCTATTAGCTACTAAGCTTAGAAACTAAATGATAGGTTATATAATATAGATAGAACTAGTATAAATAAAGACCTTATAATAACCTTCTAGTTAACCTAGAAGAGATAGCTATAGTTTAAGACTAAAGTTAGGATAACCAACTTTAGATTATTATTAGATAGAAGTACTTATAAATCCTAATATTAGTAGATAGTAGGTTATAAGTAGACCTTATTAGCCCTACCTTAGTTAATAAGTATAGAATCCTTTAGAGGATAAAGAAGGAGCCTTACCTAGTATAAGGACCCTTTCTAACCTAGATAGTTAGAAGAGAAACTAAACCTTTTAACATTAAGGTAGAAGGAAAAACTATAAAGGTAGTATTTAATATTATAGATATAGGAACTATTAAGGATATAATTTTAGGGTTATCCTAATATAAGGATTATAACCTAGATATTAGTTAGAAGGATAGTAGCTATCTATAACTATATAAACTATAGAAGTATCTAACTAATATAATAGGAAGTATAGAATAGGAGTTATAATAGGGTAAAGTATAAAGAAATATAACCTCTATAGGCCTACTATAAGAAATAGTCAATAAGAAAAGATAGGCTCTAGATTCTAGAAAATATAGTCTATAATAATAAAAGAAGATATAAACTAACTAGGAAGTTACTATTATCTTAGTCAATAAAAAAGGGAAGCTTATAATCAAGTAATAGGTCAGCCTAGTTAAGGTAGTAAACATTAAATATAGAGGAAAGAGAATTAATAAGCTTAAGGTTATAAATATCGAGCTAAGGAATAGTAAGTTTACCTACTATAGAGGAACTATAAAGACTACTATAATTAATAAGGTTCCCTAAGAATATAAAGGATATCTAATATTTTAGGCTAAGTATCTTAAGGGACTTCTAGAATATAGACTCTAAGACTATAAGATTAAACTTAAAGAGGGGGTATAGCTAAAGTTCTTTAAGGTCTATTATACTAATGAGAAATAAGATACTAAGCTAAAGAAGTATTTAAATAATAATTTAAAGATTAGATATATCTAGTTATTAACTTTACCTATTAGATACCTTATATTATTTATCCTTAAGAAAGATAGGAAACTTAGGATATATATAGACTACTAATAGCTAAATAGTAAGATAATTAAGAACTAGTATCTTCTATTACTAATCTTAAAGCTTTAGGATTAGTTAGCTAAAGTATAATACTTTACTTATCTTAACCTACTAATAGTATATATCTATATTTATATTAAGGAGGGGGATAAATAGAAAATAGCTTTTTAGATATCCTATAGGTATTTTAAATATCTAGTAATACTATTTAGACTTACTAATATACTAGTAATATTCTAAGCTATAATTAACTATATTATCTAGCCCTATCTTCATAAGTTTATAGTATACTATTTAGATAATATCCTTATCTACTCTAAGATATTTAAGGAATACTAATAATATATATAATAAATGCTTAATATACTATATTAATACCAGATATTAGTCAATAAGGAGAAAAGTGAATTTTATATCTAGAAGATAGTCTTTTTAGGATATAAAATCTTACTAGGAAAGGTTAAGATTAAACCCTAGAAGATTTAGACAATTATAAAGTAGCTAATACCTATTAATATTACTAAAGTTCAAAGGTTTATTAGCTTTATAAACTTTATTTAGATATTTATCCTAAAGTTTAATAATATTATATAACTATTATATAAACTTACTAAGAAAGGAGTAGAGTTTAAGTAGAGGGATATCTAGGAATAAGTATTCTAAAAAATCTAATAGAGTATTTTAAAAGACCTAATACTCCTATTACTAGACCCTAGCCTACCTTTTAAGGTAGAAGCTAATATATCGAACTTTATAGTTAGGGGATAACTTAGATAGAGGGATAAAAATAGGAAGCTATATCTAGTAGCGTTCTTTTTAAAAAAGCTAGATAGGCCCTATTTTAACTACCCTATTTATAATAAGGAACTACTTACTATTATTAAAGTATTTTAGGAATAGAGACCTTACTTTAGTAGAACTATCTACCTAGTATAGGTCTATACTAACTATAAAAACCTTAAGTACTTATAACGATCAAAGTCTTAAACGAGTAATAAACTAGATAAGTAGAATTCTTATTAGAGTTTAACTTTATAATTAACTATAAAAAAGATATAGAAAATATATAAATAGATACCCTAAGTAAGAGGACCGATCACTAAGATAATATACTAGAAAATTTACTAGTATTACTATAGTAATAGATAGATAGTATCCTTTACTATACCTTATAACTAGTTAAAGACTATAAGATTATAGCTATTTACTAATAGATAGAGGAAGAAGAAGTACCTCTATAGCTACTTATAGAATATTATATAGTTTTTAGAGAAGAAAGAGAAAGATAGGATTTTTAGGGAACTATTACTAGTAGGGAATAGGCCAATTAGGAAATAGACCTAGAGGTAAGTATCCCTAGCCTATAACTAGATAGGACAAGACTCTAGTATTATAATAAGGCCTATCTTAAGACCTAGGACTAAAAGGACCTTATATTTAAGGTTTACTAGTTAAAACTTAAAGGATATATAGGAATTATAAAAATAGCTATTAAACTTAAGTAATATTATAACTTCCTATACCTTAAGGAGAAGGTTAAAGAGGTTTTAATAAGTATAATCTCTATAGATAGAATAAGCTAGGATAATATAAGCCCTATAGGCTATTATAACCCTTACCTATTACTAAATGACTATAGAGTTTAGTTATTATAGACTTTATTATTAAATTACTAGAATCTAGGGATACTATAATATAGGTAGTATATAATAGTATCCTTACTATAGTAGATAGGCTTATTAAGTAGACCTACTTCCTATCCTATAAAGAAACCTAGATAGTAGAATAACTTATAGATACTCTCTACTAGTATATTACTTTAATCTATATATAGCTAAGGAAGTAGATAATAGATCAAGATACTAAGTTTACCTTAAAGTTTTAATAAGCTTTAATAATAAGACTTAGTACTAAAAGTAAGCTTTTAATAGCTTATTATATATAAATAGATAGATAGATAGAATAACTTAACTAGATAGTTAAATAATACCTTTAGCTCTATATTAACTTCTAATAGAATAACTAGATTAAGCTATTATCTATGATATAGCTTACTTATAATATTACTAAGATAGAGATAATAAAAGTTATACTATATTTTATAAACTTTAGCTATAAACTAGACCTATAGTAAAGACCTAATATTAAAGTACCCTAGGCTACTATTAAGATAGATAAGATAAGCTTACTCTATATAATACTTAAGGAAGAACTTAAGTTTATAAGGGCTAGGATAAAAAAGTTTTATAATTAGAAAAGGCTTAAGGGACTTTACCTAAAGAGGGGAGATAAGGTCTACCTTAGTTTATAAAATCTTAAGACTAAACGACCTAGTAGAAAGTTAGACTTTAAGAAAATTAGACTATTTAAAATTAATAAGAAGATCTTAGAGAATAACTATATCTTTACTTTACTATTAACTATAAAATTATAAATGAATGTCTTTTATATTATACTATTTAAACCTATATTAAAGAACTTAAGGCTTAATAAAGATATAGAAGTAAAGGATAAGGAGGAAGAATAGGATATAAAGGAAATTCTTAACTTAAGAATTATAAAAGGATAACTTAAATACTTAGTTAAATAGTTAGATTTTAGATCTAAGGATAACTTATAGTAGCTAGTAGAAAACTTGATTAATTGTCTAGAGAAACTATAGGATTTCTATTACTAATACCCTAATTGTCCTATATAGCTAATAAAGACTAGTTAAAACTACTATCATTAAAGGAAATTAATAAGGAACTAAGATAGTTAGTAAAAAAAAAAAAAACAATATATATATAGTTATAGTAGGAATTAAACCTATAACCTTATATAAATATACTCCTAACTATATCCTCAGATATAGATAGAACTATATAAGATATATATATACTACTACTATACTATATAACCATTTCATTTATTAAGAATAGAAAGGGAATACTTACTTAAGAGGAAAGGGGCTAGGTAGAGGACCTACTAAGGAAGAAGTACCCCTAGACCCTAAGAGGCTAAAAGCCTCCTAGTCTAGTATACTAAAGGCACCTATTAATTATACCTGACTAACCAAAGATTACTCCTCTAGTATCGGCCTTAGGGAATCAGGTTCCTCCTCCTCCTCTAGATAAGATATACCTTAGTAGAATGTCTTAGTACTATAATTATAAAGGAAACGCTATTAAGAATAGAGATAGGATAAACGACTTAAAGTCTTAGATAATATCTACTCTACCTCCTTAATATCCTATACTATCTTCTCCTACTCTAATAAATTAGATAATACTAAGGGTATCTATTAGGATATAGCTAGGAGATAACTATAGGTTAAATAGCACTTATAGGAACTAGCTATATTAGGACTACTATACTTCTTACCTATCTAGATATAGCCTAAGCATTTATTCAAACCCTCTATTATAATATAACGCCTCTAGGGCTTTATATTCTAGTAGCACTTATAAGGTATATTGACCTCGAAACCTAACCGCTCGATTTTCATTATAAAAATAAAATGTTCTTACTTCAGATTATAAGAACTATAGCGCTTAGGGTTAGCTATAGCGAATACTATAAAGAGGATATATTATAGAGGGGAAATATATACTTATAAGTAGAAGGGGATATTAGTACTAAGATATAGTTATTAGGAACCCTAGGTCTCTTAGGACAAGAAGATAAAGAGGGGGGGTATTATATTATAAACCAACTATATAGCAGAAACCTAGGTAGGGTATATATAGGAGGGTATAGCTAATGAATAACAGGAGAAGAGGATAGCTATAGAAAAGATAGCCATAGGTAGCCTTAGCTAACCAGCGAGTATAGGGATTTATAATAGACTTAATTAGATATCTATCTATAGATATCAAGATAGATCGCGGTAGTTAACAAGTAGCAGTAAACTTAGATAGTATATAGTCACTCGTTCTAGAGAAGCTCTAGGAGTTCTCTAGTAAGCAATACAATTTGTTCGCTACCAATTACTATAGACATTAAGACTAGATCATTATCTTGTTATATACCCTTTGGCTACACTGAATTATAACCCTTACCAGTACCTTCAGTGAACCCTTTTAGAGAGTGGTTAGTACAATTCATTATAGAAATAGAGAATATATTATAGATATAATAGTCTAAGGGTAGGTTAAGGTAGTAGACTATCTTATTATATCCTCTAATCTTAAGGATTTAAAAAGGTCTAAAATACTTTTTTATAAGCTTATAGCTAAGGTACTATAGCTTTAGATACTTGGTAGATAGCTATACCTAGTCTTTGATATAAAACTCCTAAATAAGTTAATAGGAGTTATACTATTTAGTATATATTTTATTAGTATTATTTAAAAGTTCTTTAATATACTACTATTATTCTATAAGCTCTAGAATATAACTATTTACTATTAGGATATTAGCTTCTTATAAAGCTTCTAGATCTAAAGGCCTTTATAGTTTAAATCTAAATAGTATAAAGATAAGGCTACTTTATATTACTATATAATAAAAGGTATTATAGATATATTTAGCTACCTTTAGAAAATAGGTTTAATTAGATTAATTATAAATATAGTATATCTATAAAAAATATTCTAATAATTAGTTTTAATATTCTATTTAGCTATTTAACTAAGGATAGTAGATGGTATTAAGGTATTAAAAAATCCTATATAACTTATAGAGGTATATCTAGAACTTACTAGTAAATAGAGAGCTTTAGTCTAATATAATAGAGTAAAGTATATTAAAGGGCTAGATAATATAATCGTTAAAGAGTTCTATAAAAGTATAAGCTATAAATATCTTCTATATAGCAATATAGAAGGTATACTTTATAAAGTAATTAACGATAATAAGGATTATATTATACTATTTATTTATATAGGGGTCGATAGTTAAAGGTAGCCCTATAATAAAGTCTATAGAAATATCCCTCTAAGTGTTATTTAGAACTAATAATATAGTAAGTTTACTAAATTAGTAATAGTTTCTCTCCTTATTATTATTATAGTTAGTATAATACTAGATATACTCCTTTATTATCTTATATATAGCTAGTTAGTAGTATAATTTCTTTAGGTAATAGTAGGTTTTCTAGATACTTTAATAGTCTAATCTAAGGTTACTATAAATATACTATATTAGCTTATTTTATAATATTAAAGGAACAAATACTTTTTACTAGAAATATAAGATTTTATCTTAGCTTAATTTCTAGCCTTTATTATAGCTTTAAATATATATCTAAACTTAATTATCCTCCTTTTAAGCCTTTAAGATCATTATATAGAGTTCCCTATTATTGAAAGTCCTTAGCTTTATTTTAACTTACCTAATAGTAGCTACTATATCTATATTAGAAATATATTAATTAGGTATATCTTTAACCTAGTAGTCTTATAGATAGTAGTTAACTTTAAGAGGATAAATAGCTAATAAGGTATTAGAAATATATAAGTATTATATAGGTATTACTCTAGTTCTATAAAGACTAGTTAACTAACGTTCTAATTTTTTATATAGTTTATTTAAAGTAGTATAGCCTCTTCTATATAGAGCTTATCATTATAATATTCTATCTTATACTAGACTATTTTATCTTTTACTATATAAAGGTATAGTACTTTAGAGATATTTTACTAAAGGGTAGTTACTACTATATCTTATATTTAGTTAAAGATAATTAAATTATCGAGGTATTTTTTTTTTATCTATATTAAATATATTCTTCTATAAGCTTCTTCAACGCCTTTAATATATCTTTTTCTATACCCTCCTCTTCCTTAGTTATTAAGTCTAGCCTCTTTAAAAGCCTATCTATTAGGTTCTAGCTATTAGGTTAGTATTAAATAATAAAATTATATTTAATAAGTTTATTCCTTTAATATTATAGTTATCCCTATACCTTAAGGGTAGAAATAAGTTACTAGAGGTTAAAGTAGTTAATAAATATAAGAATAAAGGATTATATATAAAATAGATAGTACCTTTAAGCCTAAAAGGCCTTTAATAGAGTAAATAATTTATATTCAGTAATAGAGTAGTTTAGCCTTACTTTCTAGATCTTCTATAAGAGGAATATAACTAGGTACTACTAATTGTTATAGAGTTAAAAGAGGATAGCCCTAATAGCTTACTTAGAAGTATTAGTTTCTAGATAAATATATAATATTAGATTGAAATACCGGAGGAGGGGTACCTTCTAGAATTCGTTCTTAAGGGTATTAAATACTATTTTAGCTATATTAGTAAATATAAAAGATTATTTAATAGTCTTTCTTAAGAGATCTATTAATAGTATAGTAACTATAGTATAATTATATTATAGATACTTTAGAGTAATAGCTACTTTATAATTACCTTAATATATTCTAGCTCTATATTAATACCTTTCTATAAGACGATAAACTTAAAGAATCTAACTTCATTAACGTTAAAGTGGTACTTCTTAAGGTTAATAAATAACTATATAGTATAAAGTCGTTCTAATACTTTATATATATACTATATATATTCTATAGGTTCCTCGTTATAAATTAGGATATTATTGAAATATACTATATAAGTAATATCTACTAATCCTGCTAATAACTGGTTAATATATATTTAAAAGGTAATAGGAATATTAGTAAAGCCTATAGATATAACCTTAAATTTGAAATAACTATATTAAATATAGAAGGCTATTTTCTACTTATTACTACTATAAAGGTATATATAATAGTAGGTATCTTTAAGGTTAAGCTTTATAAAGATTTATATATTAATAAGATAGTTTAGGATTTTACTAATCAAGGGTAAAGGAGCTTTATTCTTAATAGTAAGCTAGTTTAATATATAGAAATCTACTATAAGGTATAGCTTTCCCTCTTTTTTTAGTATAAATAGAGTAAAGGCTTTAGCTAGACTAATCGAAGGTTAAATCTATCCTTTAAATAGGGCTTTATTAATCTAGTTATAAAGGGTAGTAAATTCTATTATACTTAGGGGATAGATATACCCTTATAGTAGTTTATATTATTAACTAGGTTAATTTAATATTTAGCTTTATTAGTAATTAATAGTCTTAGATAATTATTATCCTAGAATATATTAGTATAATCTATATACTTTAGAGGTGATCTTAATAGTATAGCTATAATAGAGGGAATAGTTTAGATAAAGATAGTAATAAGGCTAATATTAACTATAATCTAGTTATAGTATAGCTCTATAATTAAGCTACTATAGTATAGTAAAGGTAAATAGATCTATATTTTATAAAAGTAGTCTAAGACTAAAAGGGCTTATTCTAACTAAGGCTAGCTAAAGATAATAGGACTAGGGGTAATATTAGTAATTATAAAATATAGTAAGAATATATAACTTTGGCTTAATATATCTAATATATAGTAGAAGAGAGGGTAAACTCTATATATAATAATTAGGCTTCTATTAATAGAACTAAATCTAAGGTAGGGTAGGAAGTACTTTAATATAGTTTTCTCTATAAGATAGTTATAACTAAGAAAGTTAAATTCTACTTTACTATCGAATATAGCTATAGCTATATTCTATCTTATTATTAGGAGATATAACTAGACTTATAAATATATTAGATAGGAGTTTACCTTTATATCTTCCTAGGTAATTATAGCTATAGTAGTTATATTATAATCTTATTTTAAAGGTATAGTATTAGTATTAGTTATTAGATAGTTATACTCTATATATCCTTTTTATTTATATTAATAGTATACTATATCTAGGTAATATATTATATAATAGCCTTTAATATTATAGTAGGAATAGATAGCTTCTAGATATTGGTTAATAAAATAACCTAGCTAATAGTAATTATAATAGATATAATATAGAGGAATCTCTTTATTTTTAAAGGCTATTATACTTTTAGCTTCTATAGGTATTATAATTTAAAT